TTTCAAGAAAGGAAAACATTTCGGGACAGTTTCAAAAATAATGCTTGGAAATGGAAATTCAAATGATACCGTTTTAAAAACCAGAAAGATATGGTTTGAGGACAAGAAGCAGGTATGTAATTCATTGCTCGGCAATCTTGACTGTATTTAAAACAGAGCATCCAATATACCTGATATTTAATAGTACTGTACAATGTCATTAAATAAAATAACTAAATAAACAAACAATAATGGACCTCTTTAGCCAAGACTGTGGATTTTTATTGTTGAGCACTAAATGATTCTGCTCGGTCATACAGGCTAGGTGGGGAATGCTTTCAATAGACTTAAATTTGAAAGGCCCTTTGTATCACTTCGTGCAAAATGACATAGGGCACTTCTAATAAATTTATACGAAAGTAAACCCTGTTCATCATTGTTTTTCGTGTTGCAAAGTTGTTTACAGACTGAAAAGGGATAGTACGGGACTGTAGAGAGTGAATAAAACTAGGAATTATAATTGCAAATGTAAAACAACGTTGTAAACCTAGCAATAAGAGGCTCTTGAATGCAGTTTTTTAAATGGACATGGCTTTGGGGCTACCCGCTACCGGCCGCCAGGCCCTACGCTGTCGATTGCCAGCTAGCTGTCGATTGCCAGCTAGCTGTCGATTGCCAGCTAGCTGTCGATTGCCAGCTAGCTGTCGTTGCCAGCTAGCTGTCGATTGCCAGCTAGCTGTCGATTGCCAGCTAGCTGTCGATTGCCAGCTAGCTGTCGATTGCCAGCTAGCTGTCGATTGCCAGCTAGCTGTCGATTGCCCTAGCTGTCGATTGCCAGCTAGCTGTCCGATTGCCAGCTAGCTGTCGATTGCCAGCTAGCTGTCGATTGCCAGCTAGCTGTCGATTGCCAGCTAGCTGTCTAGATGGGCCCCCCTGGCGATTAATGTGGGGGGGGGGGGTGATTTTTCAAATTTCGAGGGCCAAACAAAAAAAAATAGTGCTCTCTACCCCCCCCCCCCCACCCCCCCCTCCCCCTTCCCCTCTACCACTGAGTGAAATATCGGCCGGCACGATTTTTTTTATTTCAGCACAATTAAATTTCAAATTGATTTCAAGTTTGGCCCCCCAAGAAATCCTGAATCCGCGCCGATACCCCACCCCCCCAATAAAAATCCCAGGCTCCCCTGTAGTTTTTTTCTACATTGCTCCCCCCCCCCGCAAAAGGTCCTATTTTCTCATTGTTTTACATCAACAACAACAAAACAATAATATTTTATTATAAAACTCCAAAATTGGTTTGTTTTTATAAATAATAATATCCTGCCCGGCAAAATATTTGAAGTAAGTATGTAGATTAAGATCATCAGACTTTATTACACTGATGAGGTGTATTGGGTTCTCTTTCACTTGTCTCTTTTCTGGCTCTCTTTCTCTTTCTCTCTCTCTCTCTCTCTCTCTCTCATTGGGACTGAAAAGTATTGAATGTAATAATGTTTTGATAAATAGATAAAACAGGATTCCTGTCCTTGTTGTACTTCGTAAATATAAACTTTACCTTGCTTACAAGTTAATTGCAAGCTCATTGTATAGATCAATTAAGAGATAGCAATAAATATGGACTTTGAGTGAGATCAAATGGTTTGACATCAGTTTTTCTTTTTCAAAGATTAAAAAAAAAGCAACAGCTGGGTGTCGAACCCGATACCTTCCAGTTACCAGGCGATTGCCTACCCACTAGACTAAAGTGTCACATTGCTAATCTCCATGTTTTTTTTTCATACTTATACTTATTGTTGTACATGTAGCAAAAGAAAAAAAACGCAACAGCTGGGGGTCGAACCCGATACCTTTCAGTTACCAGGCGATTGCCTACCCACTAGACTAAAGTGTCACATTGCTAATCTCCATGTTTTTTTTTCATACTTATACTTATTGTTGTAGATGTAGCAAAAGAAAAAACGCAACAGCTGGGGTCGAACCCGATACCTTCCAGTTATCAGACGATTGCCTACCCACTAGACTAAAGTGCCACATTGCTAATCTTCATGTATTCTTCATACTTCACTAATTGTTGTAGATGTAGCAAAAGATGTTTTCTGACTAATTCAGAGAGTCGCTTGTTAAAGAAGAGTATTACATGCTATTTTTTCTTGTTGAGGGGGGGGGGGGTGTCCCCTTTAAAAAAAGAGATGACAAGTCAATATTATGGAGTGAAGAAAAAAAATAACATGGGTTTATATAAAGGAGAAACTGAGACTCGAACCGGGTACATTGCATTGTGAAGTGATCACTTTTATCCACAAGACCTTTTGCCTCACCGTGATAACTGGTTCGCTTTTTGTTGTTAACACTTTCTGCATGCTAATGACTTTACAAAATGTGCCGATTTACTGATTTGACGCTTTCTGGATGCATTATTAGCATCATTTTTGTAGTCCTATGTTGTCAAGATTGCCCGTATTTTTTTTTCTTTCAGTTACTGATATTACTGATATAATAGTGAGTTTTATGTTTATTTTCATTTAATTTGCAAACTGCTGACTTAAACTTAAAGTGATATGACAAGAGGCCACTGCCCTCACTAGTATATGAATAGAACACGGGTCTATTCAATTCAGTATATGCTACGAATTCTATAACAGGGCACCAATGAATAGGGAAGCTTGGCTATTCGATTCTGTTTTCAATAGCTTGCACCTGCAATTTTTGAATATTTACGTAACAAACTACTCAGCTCTTTCTGACATGGCATCAATAATATTAGTGAATAGGCCATTTTCGAAATGTAACCAAATTTAATGCATAAGTCTTTGTAGAGTGTCTCAATACAATTATTTCACTCACCTGATAAGAATAATAGTATTTCAATAGACAGAATCCGAACTGCATACATTAGTTGTTGCCAGGTTGGACAAATATTATGGCTTGACCTACCTAGCAACACTTAATATATGCCGTTGCATTCTGACTATTGAAATACTATTATTCCTATCAGGTGAATGAAATAATTTGTATTGAGGCACTTCACAAAGACGTATGCATTAAATTTGGTTACATTACGAAACTGGCCTATTGAAAACAAACCTGACCCTCCCTTCATTGAGTGACTTTTGTTTGTCAAATGCGAGGATTACCAAAGAGGAGGTAATAATAGCAATTCCTGACATTGCAACAATGACCGCGTTATTTTGATGCATTGTCCCTAAACCTACCGAAGAGGCTCTTTGTCCTTGTCTGGGAGGACAAGCACTTAGACTGGTGCTGTAGTCTGATTTCAAGAAAGGAAAACAATTTCGGGACAGTTCAAAATAATGCTTTGAAATGGAAATTCAAATGATACCGTTTTAAAACCAGAAAAAGATATGGTTTGAGGACAAGAAGCAGGATGTAATTCTTGCTCGGCAATCTTGACTGTATTTTAAAACAGAGCATCATACCATACCTGATATTTAATAGTACTGTACAATGTCAATTAAATAAAATACTAAATAACAAACAAATAATGGACCTCTTTAGCCAAGACTGTGGATTTTTATTGTTGAGCACTAAATGATTCTGCTCGGTCATACAGGCTAGGTGGGGAATGCTTTCAATAGACTTAAATTTGAAAGCCCTTTTGTATCACTTCGTGCAAAATGACATAGGGCACTTCTAATAAATTTATACGAGAAGTAAAACCCTGTTCATCATTGTTTTCGTGTTGCAAAGTTGTTTACAGACTGAAAAAGGATAGTACGGACTGTAGAGAGTGAATAAAACTAGGAAATTATAATTGCAAATGTAAAACAACGTTGTTACCCTAGCAATAAGAGGCTCTTGAAATGCAGTTTTTAAATGGACATGGCTTTGGGGCCAGCTAGCTGTCGATTGCCAGCTAGCTGTCGATTGCCAGCTAGCTGTCGATTGCCAGCTAGCTGTCTATATGGGACCCCCCTGGCGATTAATGTGGGGGGGGGGGGTGATTTTTCAAATTTTCGAGGGCCAAACAAAAAAATAGTGCTCTCTAACCCCCCCCCCCCCACCCCCCCCCCCACCCCCCCCCCTTCCCCCTTCCCCCTCTACCACTGAGTGAAATATCGGCCGGCACGATTTTTTTTTTATTTCAGCACATTAAATTTCAAATTGATTTCAAGTTTGGGCCCCCCAAGAAATCCTGAATCCGCGCCGATACCCCCCCCCCCCCAATAAAAATCCCAAGGCTCCCCTGTAGTTTTTTTCTACATTGCTCCCCCCCCCCCGCAAAAGGTCCTATTTTCTCATTGTTTTACATCAACAACAACAACAACAATAATATTTATTATAAAACTCCAAAATTGGTTTGTTTTTATAAATAATAATATCTGCCCGGCAAAATATTTGAAGTAAGTATGTAGATTAAGATCATCAGACTTTATTACACTGATGAGGTGTATTGGGTTCTCTTCACTTGTCTCTTTCTGGCTCTCTTTCTCTTCTCTCTCTCTCTCTCTCTCTCATTGGGACTGAAAAAGTATTGAATGTAATAATGTTTTGAT